GAAGAGAATACAGAAATTTAACAAGTCAAGAGGGAGGGGAGCATGTTGTAAGGGCTGTAGCAGTTTAGAATACAAGGTCAATAAATAAGGAATGAAACGGTACAACTACAAAGCCAACGAGAGTGATAATCAAAACATGGCACGGAATGTCCCTTCGTGCATTACTAATCAAAACATGGCACGGAATGTCCCTTCGTGCATTACTAATCAAAACATGGCACGGAATGTTCCTTCATTCATTAATAATCAAAACATGGCACGGAATGTTCCTTCGTGCAATAATAATCAAAACATGGCACGGAATGTTCCTTCGTGCATTAATAATCAAAACATAGCACGGAATGTTCCTTCGTGCAATAATAATCAAAACATGGCACGGAATGTTCCTTCGTGCATTAATAATCAAAATATGGCACGGAATGTTCCTTCGTGCAATAATAATCAAAACATGGCACGGAATGTTCCTTCGTGCATTAATAATCAAAACATAGCACGGAATGTTCCTTCGTGCAATAATAATCAAAACATGGCACGGAATGTTCCTTCGTGCAATAATAATCAAAACATGGCACGGAATGTTCCTTCGTGCATTAATAATCAAAACATAGCACGGAATATTCCTTCATGCATTAATAATGAAAACATAGCACGGAATGTTCCTTCTTGCATTAATAATCAAAACATAGCACGGAATGTTCCTTCGTGCATTAGTATATTCTCAACACAAATCGTGCACGGCATCAACCTTCGTGCTTTATCACTCTTCCTCACCCAAGCAACAATCACAAACAATGGGCGAGGGGATAGACAAACAATAAGAAATGTCCCGGCAAGGGAAAACACAAGTAAACAGCTAAATCCCGGCAAGGGAACAACAACAATAACTTTCACATCCCGACAAGGGAGAAAATCACTATACGAACACAACACGGCAAGGGAATAATCACATTTCTTTCTCTTTCTTTTATTTCTTACTCAACAATTACTTTAGCATTCGAGCCAACGCTCCAGAGAGTTCACAAGTCATAATTCTTTCTCATACCCTTCACATTATATAGAAATCATCAATTACACAAGGAAGAGTCACAACAAAATCAAAATAAGCACAACTAAGGACTCACGGTCATGCTAGACACCAGTGTATAGATACTCGTCACCATGCCTATACACCGTACTCAACAATTAGCAATTAGCAAACAATACTCTAATCCTATTCCCTCAAGCCAAAATTAGATCAAACACTTACCTCGAATGCTCCAAACTCAACTCAATCCTCTAGTATAGCTTTACCCCTCGAATTCACCACCAAACCGCTCGAATCTAATCACAAATTACTTGAAGGTATTAACAATGCTACTTGAATCAATTTGAATGCATGAAAATGAATTTTCCAAAGTTTGTTCAAAAATTTCCAAAATGCCCTGGGCCCACGTGGTCAAAACCCGAGGTTCGAACCAAAACCCGATTACCCATTCCCCCATGAATTCAGATATATAAGTTATTTTGGAATCGGACCTCAAATTGAGGTCCAAAACCCCCAAATTTAGGAACCCTAGTTCTACCCTAAATTCCCAAATTCCCCCATTAAAAACCTTGGTTTGAAGTTGGAATTATGTTTAAGGATGTTAAGGAGTATAGAAAATCAGTTAGAAATCACTTACCAATCGTTTTGAAGAAGTAGAATCGTTTGGAAAATCACCTCTTATATTTTGGGTTTTGAAAAAGTAAAAAATGACTGAAAATCCCGACTTTATATACTGTACTGAAGACCCGGCGCGGACCGCACAAAAATGCCCCGCGGCCGCGCCGAGGAAGGGTGGGGAAACCACTCCCTGAACCTACCCAGCGCGGACCGCACTGATTTGGTGCGCGGCCCCGCTGGTTGAATGAAACCTCAAGGCCCCTCTCTGAATCTTCCAGCGCGGACCGCGCTGATATGGCACGCGATCGCGCTGGTCGAATTGGGAGTCATTGGCCCTCTGAACCCAGCCACGCGGACCGCGCAAAAGTGCACCGCGACCGCGCGGCTGCCAGCGCGGACCGCGCGGAAATGACCGCGGCCGCGCCGGGGGCCTGCAACACCTGGACCTGCAACACCTGATACTTTTAAGCCTAAGACCTCCCGGGACCTACTCAAAACCCACCCGAGCCCTCGGGGCTTCAAACCGAACATACATAAAATCTCAAAAACATACTCCGCACTCATTCGTGTGATCAAATCGCCCAATTAACATCATGAATCATCAATTTGGGTCTCAATACCCATGAATTTCTCTCCAATTCCCATAAAACATTAAGTTAAGCTTTTCTAGCTCAAAACACGTCAAATAACGTCCAAATCTAACCAAACTTTACAGCAATTGCTTAAATCATATTTAAGACTTGTGCCGGGAGTCTGAACCAAAATACGAGCCCAACAGCACAGTCTTCTAAACAAATAACACCTTCTAATTCTTTAATTATTTTCAGAAAACAATTTCACACAACAATTCGTTTCTCGGACTTGGAACCTCGGAATTCGATTCCGGGCACACACCCAAGTCCCAAAATTTCCTACGGACCCTCCGTGATTGTCGAATCACGAGTCCGGGTCCGTTTGTCCAAAACGTTGACCAGAGTCAAACTTAATCAATTCAAAACATCAAATTTATTATCTTTCTCACAAATTCACATTTAAACTTTCCGGTTATGCGCCCGGACTTCGCACACAAGTCGAGGCAACCCCCAAGTGAAGTTTTCACGACCTCGGAAGTACAAGGTGACTGGGAAATACGGTGATGACCCTTTGGGTCGTCACAGTGGATTTTCCAAGCAACAAGCTTCTGCTTCTTGAATGCCTTAATACTTTGTTCTTTCTGCAAATTGAATTTATTGTGATCCAAAAATGTAACTTTCATGTAAATGCTGGGATCTTTTCACTTTGTTCTTTCTTGGCTCCTATCCGCTTTACAAATTCGGCATGAAAATTTGCCTTAATGTTTCTTGGTTTTTGAGCGACCTAAGACTATAAAATGTCTTTACCATGCGTGTATATTAGTTGCCTTAAAGTTTTATGGTAATTGCATACTTTAAAATGTAAAAGATAAAAAGTATAATATATATACATAATAATTATATATTATACAACTTATCTATAATTTATCTACAACTTTCATTCATTATTTCTATCCAGATATACAACTACAATATCATACCACGTAAATATAATTTTTATACAATATGTCTTTTGTATATTTTGTATCTGAGTTATACATAGTAAAAACGAATTTCATACAACTAATTACAACTTATCTACAACTTATCCACAACTTCTACAACTTATCTACAATTTATCCACAACTTTCACACATTATTTCTACCCAGTTATATACGGCTACAATATCATACAACTTAAATATAATTTTTATACAATATTGTTCAACTTTCATACAATATTTAAATAAAAAAAATATATATACATATAAACAACAGAATACAATTTTTCTATAATTTTACTACAACTTTACTACAATTTCTGCAGCATAATGTATGCCATGTCGTCTTCTTCCAATATGAAATTCAGCCAAAATCAAGTCTAACCTTCACCAAAACACTCTCAAAATTGAGATATAAACTCCAAACCATATTCCCAATTATTTGCAACAACACCTAATCCAAACAAATAATGGTTTTTGAAAACCCAAATTCGAATTCGAAGCTTCAAAGCTTTTTAATGGCTGTAAATGGTGGAATTGCTGCTCTCTTTTCATTTGCTTTACACTACTGAAATTAGGAATTGAGAGATAGAGAGAGACGTAGAGAGAATTCCCAATTCTTTGCAACAACATCCAATTCAAACAAATAATATTTATTGAAAACCCAAATTCGAATTCAAAGCTTCAAAACTTTTTAATGGTTGTTAATGGTGGAATTGATGCTCTCTTGTGCAAGATACGCGGAGGGGGGGGAGGGGGGGGGGAGGGGAGGGGGAGGGGAGGGGAGATGTGGAGAGAGAAAGGTGGGGGAGTGGAAGATACGTTAGAGTGATTTTAGGACACTANGTCTAATCTTCACCAAAACACCCTCAAAATTGAGATATAAACTCCAAACTATATTCTCAATTGTTTGCAACAACACCCAATCCAAATGGTTTTTGAAAACCCAAATTCGAATTCAAAGCTTCAAAGCTTTTTTAATGGCTGTCAATGGTGGAATTGCTGCTCTCTTTTCCTTTGCTTTACAGTACTGAAATTAGGAATTGAGAGATAGAGAGAGACGTAGAGAGAATTCCCAATTCTTTGCAACAACGCCCAATTCAAACAAATAATATTTTTTGAAAACCCAAATTCGAATTCAAAGTTTCAAAGCTTTTTAATGGTTGTCAATGGTGGAATTGCTGCTCTCTTGTGCAAGATACGTGGGGCAGGGGGTGGGATGTGGAGAGAGAAACGTGGGGGAGTGGAAGATACGTTAGAGTGATTTTAGGACACTAATTATTATCATTAATTCCCTTAAAATGTACATAAATGGTAATTGGGTATATAAATTATAATTATAGTAAAATTTGAATAGGAAGGGTAATATAGTTTCATATAGTGTATAGGAATGTAAAAATCTCTTTTTTTTTTTTTTTTTGCTTTGGGCTACTAAACAAAAAAAAAATTCGGGGAAAAAGATAATAAAAAATAGACTTATTTACAATTGAAAAATAGTATAGTTTCAAACTAATCGTAATTTAGCCACTTTTTTATGTAAAGATAAAATTTGAATAAAATCACTCTTAAAAATCCAAAAATAATATGCTGGAAGTTTATAGAAGCTCCATAATCTATATACTTAAACTTTCGGTGTTTCAGCTAGGGTATTTTTGCTCTGATTTTATCTCCGCATAAAATAATGACTATTTTTTAATGACTTTACAAATACTGACTATTTTTTATCCGAAAACTGACTAGCCCAAACTATTTTCACAAGTTTCTCAATATTGATCCATACATAAAAGCCCACGGTTCAGCCCAATAAAGTCATCATGCTTCTCACTCCCAGGGAACACACAGAATCTTCTTTTCGCGACGAATCTTTCTGAATTCCTAAACTGCTGCTGCTTTACTCCCACTCTTCTGATTCTCAGTAAGCTTCGATACCCACCTCTATTTGTCTATTTTTTTTTTTTATAAAAAAAATTATTGCTCTTATGTTTCTGATGAATTTTGAGATCTTGAAAATATAAAGGAAATGCCAAAAGAAAAAAAATGTGAGCATTTTAATGGGTCCTTTTCTGTTATCTCATCCGAAATCCCCTCTTACAGTTTACTCTGACCATTTTGGCTAGATTTGGTGATTATTTTATTTTAAAAAAATTTATCTTAGTGGAAAATAACTTGTTTTCTTTTGTTTCGTTAGATTTTTTTTTTTCGGTCGGGGGGTTGGGGTGGGGTGGGTGGGTGGGTGGGTGGGTGGGAGGGTGGGGGGGGGTTTAAAGTAACGAGTGCATCATCCGGTTGGCAGTATTAAACTGCCACTTAAATACAACTTTTGGTTTGGTGTATCTAACTTTGTATTGCTAATACCTGAATAAGTTATGAGGGGATTTATGTACTATTTTGTGCAAGATAGAATGAAGACAGTAATGCTCTTAATCCTTACATAAGAATCCTAATCATAGACTCCTTTGGTTTATCTACTCTTGATAAATGAAAGGCACTCGTTCTTATTCCATACAGTCAATTAATACTCACTATATAATAATCCCTGCATTATTTTACTTTGCATTATTGTTCTTTTTAAGAAAAAACCTCTGCATTATAATCCTTCCATAACGCAACAACCAGTCAGGTCTTGGAGCTGCTTCATTATGATAGAAAAATGGCGATCCTCAAAATTCTCAACTTTTGAGGATCAATGTCAAAGAACTCACAAATTCAAATGAAAAAGCAAACTTCACCAATCTTTAGTTGGAAAAAGAAATGCATGAGTTGTTCCTCCTGTTTGGATAGGTGAACTAAAGGAAACTAAAACATTGTTGTTTCCTTTGCTTTGGTTATCTTACTATATTTGCTATCAATACTTTTCTTTTCTTCCGTAGTTTCATCATAACGTCTTCAATCTTGTATTTTTCAAACCTGTTTTTAAAATACTTTTTTTGAGCCGAGGGTCTATTGGAAACAACTTATCTACCTCACACAAGTTAGGGGTAAGGTCTGCGTATACTCTGCCCTAGACCCCACTTGTGTGATCGCACTTGGTATGTGGTTGTTGTTGGGATGGTAGAGTTTGAAGCATAAAAATGTATTTGGAAAGAATTCAAGGTCAAATGTCAAGGGAGAAAGCAAAATCTGCACTTGTTTTCTTTCTCCTTTGGGCTTGAAGTAGTGGTGATTAGGTTGGAGTTTTTAATATTATTCAAAATTCAGTTTTTCATGAACTAGGCATTTGCTCATAAATTAATTATTCATATGATATTAGAATGGCATCTCAAGGATTATTGGAGACGACAGAGGAATTTCCAACTAGGATCAATTACCGTCCAAATGGGAAGCCTCGAATTGTAATTGAACGCTACATGCCTGAACTCGAAGCATATATGCAAAGAGATGCTGAACCAATTGATTTGAATGTGATCCGGGATATCAATGATCGATTGACAGCTATGCTAGAAGATGTTAGATTGATGAAGAAACGACTCACTCGTATCATGATTTTGCAGTTGCTATGTCTCTTCATTGCATTTTCAGGTCTTTTTGTGAAGTTGATCCGAAAGTAAGTAGTGTTACGAGATAAGCCATTTGACCTTTCAGAAATGGAGTATGACTTTCATTTTTAATTGTTCTTTGAATGTTTGTGCTGTGGAAACAGCCTTTTGCCGAAATGCACAGGGTAAGGCTGCATACAATAGACCCTTAGTGCACCGGGTTGTCCTTTGGATGTTTGTGCTTCTAGTAGGTACAATGTATGGCTCGTGTTCCCATCATTGTGTATGTTGTAAAATTGTAAATAAGTTCATGCAAACAACGTTTTGGCCTTCTTTTTGACAAGTGCAAACAAGTTTTTGGCTTTGTTCATTGAAAAGAGAAGATGGTAGAGTTTTCCATTTTGATCTCCCTTTTTACCTTCTCCTAAAGTTTAGGAGCCAAGCCAGGGTTTAAACTGTGTTTATAAGATGAAGTAGCCAAGACACTGAAGTATCTCAACCTACCGTGAATGACTGTAGTTTCTGAATCAAATTTATGTTCGGAGTTTTCCAAGGTAACACGAGGACTTTTGACTGGAAATAATATAACTATCCATAAAACAAATTAGTCATGTCGCGTTTTCATTACATTAACTAAATTTTCATGACGACCTTATACTAGAATTCTTCTCCTCTTATGAAATTTTTAGTTAGATTTACATTTGTTGCAAGATGGAATCAACGATTTACATAGTTATGTAAATTTTTAGTTAGATTTACATAGTTAATCACTGCACAAAAGATGACTTCAAAGGTCACAATCAACGATTCTAGGTGATCAGCGATAGTATTAGTTAGTCAAGGAATGAGCTTATGCAAAGGTGAACAATTTGAAGAGATATATTAAAGTACAAATGCGAGTGATGTTGATGTATAAAGTTGTAAAATGTGCCATATAGTCAAAAAAAAAAAAAAAAAAACCCCAATACTTGTTGAGGACAATAAATTCCATTACTGTAGGGCCTTTAGCTACTTGTCCATTATATATAGAATCAGCCCGAGGCGGAGCTAGGTTTTCAAGCTTATGGATTCGGGATTTTAATCGCCTTAAGTTATTTGGTTCTAAATTAATAATTTATACATATTCAATGGATTTTTTAAGACAAATACAAGATTCGAACCAAAACTACTGGGTTCGGCCGAACCCACTCTCGACACTCTAGCTCTGAACCGAATTAGCATACTTCTTCTCGAATTTTCACCAAAAAATCAAAAACCTTGCACTGTACATTATGATTCCAATTAGTCGTCAGGTTTTCAATCTTCTGAAGTACCCTAGGCATTTCAATCCGCTGAGCACAATCATTCTCTGAGCTGCAGCTTTCCCAGTCCCATTCCGCAGACCATGCTAGGCTGCATTGCCATATGTTCGTATAGTACCAGTTCCCTAATGTCCTGAACAAAAGGTCACCTTAGGATGTAGTTATGACGCTTTGGTCACAAGGGGTGTTGTTACTAGTTCAGCGCTACTTCCGTTTACATCCATCAACTCTTCAAGATAGTAGGCAGACATATATAGCCTAGTTGGAGGGAACGATGCACCTGATTGGTCATGTTAACTGCAGAACCACCAACCAGAACATCAATCCTTCTATGATGAACTCATGATAAGAAAGCTATGACAAATATTACAACGTCCTGCTTAACTCACTTGACAAAAAGACCTGATGCACACTGATTCTTCCAGGGAGAAAAAATAGAGGAAAGGGGACGAAGAACATAATTAATAGTGGCAATAAGCTCATACATATACTCAGAGGCGGATCTAGGATTTCTAGTACATGGGTGCACTACTAAAAAAAAGGAGGAAAAATGTATTAAGTCAGCCCCTGCATATACTTGAATACAACTGTTATTATGACAACAGATTTTAGAATCGATCAGATCTTGGAACAAAATAATTAGGGTAACAAGCTTTCACATTCTAAAATATTCAGTGGCATTACATATGTCCATCAGAAGTTGCACTCTAACACCTAATGAAACACTTATCGGCCTGCTTCTTCCTAAACTCTCATAAAAACCTATTAATTCAGTAAGAGCACAATAAAAACCTCTAATAGTTGTCTAGATATAGCAGACAATGGACAGGAAATATAAAAAATTAATAGACAATATAAGAACAAGGAGGAGTCTTCTTCCTGGTGCCTAGTACTCTTTCTTTAACAAATACCCAAGAGAGCAGATAGCCTATATCTGGTCACTGGTAGAATCGTTCTCTTCAAGTTCCATAGAGTATGGTCATTTTTTATTTTGTCTGATTCCAACCCCAGCCTTTTCTGGTGCTCTAGTCATAGTATGATTAAGGTTCTATACAACAATGTTGTGATGGAACACAACTTACATCTTGTTCATCTTTTTATAAATTCTGGAATTGACCAAGTGGAATGATATTGCCTAGTCCTTATTAGACCACAAAACGAATCATCTATTTTGCTCCAGGCTACTGTTCTAGTAAGTAGGGTGTAGGGTAATTATCTGAACCTTTTTCATACTCATTTTCTTCCTTGCTGTTTAGAGGACGCAACTAGGAGCTTCACTTAGACGTCATCAGTAATAGTGTTACAAAACCTAAGAAACTTAGGCACTCGAGTGAGTTGACACGTAGAACTAACACGTGTTGCTGGACATCTGAAACACATGCTTTGAATGATTGTATATAACCACATTATCAAGACAGGAAATTTCCATTCTGACACCAAATGAGAGCAATATGCATGTCCTGTACCTTTCTTTTGTGCCATTGTATCATGCTTTTAAGATATTCTTTGAATGCTTAGATTATTATTTGTTCGACTTTATTATTAGTTGGTGAAACATTTGCAAGATAAAGCACGGAGAAGGATAATCGGCAAAATGTAAACTGGGAAAGCAGCAATTACCAATTATTGCCCGGATATTCAGATGAACTTTCTTGGCATCAATCACCTATTCCACTTGCTTGTTAAGTGTAGTAACTTAATCAATTCTGATCATTCATACACCTTCACAGTATCTTCAAAGCCAATGCAAGAATCATCTCGCTTCATTGCTAAGATGAGTTGATCTAGCATCTCATAAATCACAACAGAACAAGGATGAGACTTGTCAGCAACGTAGAAGCTATGTGTTTCAGTGTTAATGCTAATCCAACTACAACCAGGAAACTTCTTCAGCCCTTTGTCTTTCATCATTGTTCTCACCCGAGCAACAACATCCCATCTATGTGAAGAAGCATATAAATTTGAAAGGGACACATAATTTGACGGGTTCTCAGGTTCCATCTGAATAAGAAACCTATATGCTAAATTTTGCACCTCACTATTTCCATGAATTGCAGAGGCATTCACAAGTGCACCCCATATAGTAGGACCTGGTTTCACAGGCATTGACTTGATGAAATCCAATGCTCTATCGAACTGGTCTGCTTTACCCAACATATCCACGATACATGCACACATCTCCAAAGTTGGTTCTAAATCATAATCATTTACAGCAGAATCATATATCCGGATGCCCTCATCGACCAATCCTGACCTAGCACAAGCAGAGAGAACTCCAACAACCGTAATCATATCAGGTTTGATCCCATTTTGAAGCATTTTCTCATACAACATGATAGCACCTTGACCATTCCCATGTAAGGAGTAAGCAGAAATCATTGAACTCCACGATATGGCATCCTTAGTAACACAATGATATTCAAAGATTCGTCGTGCACAACTCAAAGAACCTGACTTAGAATACATATCAATTAAAGCATTACACAAAGACACTTCATGATTCAATCCTCTCCTAGCTGAAAATGCATGAATCTGTTTTCCACCTTTCAAACGATCAAATGAACAACAAGCAGGTAGGATACTGATAAGCGAAACCTTATTGGGTTCTACTCCTTCCACTTGCATGTCTTTAAACAGTACCAAAGCTTCATCAAAATTCCCATTCAGCACATAGCCATTGATCATTACTGTCCAAGCAAAAACATTTCTGTGCTCCAACCTATCAAAAACCCGCCTTGCCATTTCAATCCTGAAACTTTTCGAATACATATCAATCAAACAACATCCTAAGCGAACATCAGAGCAAACAACAAAATCCGAATCCAAACCAGTCTTCACAATATAGCAATGCAGCTCTTTCCCATAGTGCCAGTACTTCTTCACCTCTCCACAGAAAGAAAGAAGTGTTGAAACCGTAAATGCATCAAATTTCCAACCTTCAATCTGCATATCCTTCACAAAATCCCATAACTTATCATCCAAAACTCTCTCTTTTTCACCCGTATATCCTGAAAGTACAACATTAAACGAAGAAATACTCCTCTGCGGCATTTCATCAAACACCTTCAAAGAATCTCGAAACACCCCACATTTGCTATACAAAGACATGAAAGAATTAGCAACAACAGTATCTAAAACAACCCCATTTCTCACACACTTCCCATGAACAATTTTCCCAGAAACAATATCCCCTAATTCACCCAAAATTTTCACTATACCCGAAATGGTAAACTCATCAGGAGTGACTTCACTTCTACACATTTGATTAAAAAGCTTAATACTTTGTCCAAATAATTTATTTTTAGCATACCCATTAATCAAAATATTCCAAAGATATAAACTTTTATGTTTAAAAGAGTCAAAAACAAGCTGAGAGTCAACTGGGTTTTGGCATGCAAAGTATGAGGAGATGAGGTTAGTTGCTATAATGGAGTTTTGGTCAAGTCCAAGGTGAATGATTTGGGAGTGTAGTTGTTTTGTATATTTGAGAGATTGAGATTTAATTGAAAGTTGAAGTAAGTCAATGAAATTAGGAGTTGAAGAAGTGTAAAGACGTTGAGATTTGGTTGAAAATTTCAAGATCTTGCTTGCTGAGAAGATTATCATTAATATTGAGATTAAAAATCAAAGGAGAATATAGAAAAGTATATTAAAGATTTTGAGGTATGATTGAAAATACTAATTTACTGTTTCATAGTTTCAATTTGGTTTAGAGAAGGCGCGGGAAGATGATTAACTAAAGTGTATGCACATTCGCACAGAGCTATGAGAAATTGATGAGAAAACAGAAATTTGATATTGTTATAAAATATAATTATAGTGGATGTCCATAACCACCAATGAGTAATAACCACTACTCTTCTCCATCCATAACTTCCACTACTCTAATTCTTATGGAGTTATGATTGTAACTCTCATACCTCCCCTATGATCTTCCAGCATCATCTCAAATGCTTAATGGCATATTTATGGAATTCTTTTGGTATATCTCTATGTAGTACTATAAATAGAGGATGAGAAGTCATTTTGTAACACACTTGAATATATGAAAGAAATAAGAATCTCTCATTTCTTGCTCCCTACATTCTTGTCTATTTTCTTGTTTTATATTATTACTTTGAGCTAAGTTTTTTAACACGTTATCAGCACGAATTGCTATATTCTTCTTACATTTTCTATAAGAGATGAAAGCCTTCCATGGGAGCTACAACCTTGAATCAATTTGGTTGAGCCTGTGAAAATCTGACAATTTTGTTGCCATATCAATGTTGTGTTTGCTTCTGTTATACATGGAGTATCATTTTTCAGTTGCCATGAATTCTGCAATTAACTTACGTGAATACTTAAGATTTGGTTTAATTTGTGTTACTTAACAATTTAGTTTCATTTGTGCAGATATATACATATGGAGTACCTGCTTTAGAGTGACAAATAAGAGCATATTACGATGCCTTGACATCATCTCCCATATATACTGCTCCGCCAGTTTGTAAGCCAAGATTATGGAACGGTTAACTAATGAGAAGGTTTCTAATTAATCTTAAAAAATAATAAGAATTTAAATTTATGTAGTGGTCAAAATAAATTTTGTATAACTAAGATAGTTTTATTCCCTTTATGTTTGATAATGTGGTTGTTCGTGAAAAAGATCAATGTGAACTTTCATTAAAGTTCGGGCAAAAATAACTGATTATTATAAAATAGTATATCATGAAAGGCTCAAGGGTGAGTCCACTTAGACTTATTATGCCATTGTATAAGGGTAAGACATCGGGTTTGAGTCCTGGTGCTCTATGATGATAAGAGTTAGATTTGAGTCCCAACACATTATGGCCTAACATGCCTTTATATGGGTAAGGCATTGGGTTTGAGTACCAATGCACCATATTGATGATATAATGATGACTACAGAAAAATAATGTATTTTTCATGAAAAAGCATGAAGTTTGTCCCACTTGATTTGCTCCATTCTTGAAGTGAATGTAATAACGTTGCATAATAAGTCTAAATAAAGACAAGTGATTGACCAATGAACGTTGACGTGCCAAAGATCGAATAATAACAGTCATCACTATGGTAATTGTAAAAAGGAGAACAATAAGTGTTCTCAAAATGTTCCTTTCAAGGTGAAGGAATATGTATCAATGTGGTCTGTTAATACGTGACACGTTCACATGATTATAGTCCATTCGTTGAAAATGTGACTTGTGATAAGCATTGTAAATGCAGGTTCATTCCTGAAAGTAAATGTTGAAATATATATGTGATAAAAATTATGCATAAGAATGTGCTTATGCATGGTTGGATAAATGCCACAACTCACCTCTAAGAGAGGTTTAAGAGAAATAAAGATAATGAATATTACAATGTGGTTACATGAATATGTCATTGGTCGCGTACATGTGGTATGCCAAAAATATTTTGCCATGCCTTATAAAAAGTTATTAAAGGCAAACTTAAAACAAGAAATGATTTTGCTTATGATGACTTTGACCATAACAATTTATTATGATATGATTTTCTCCGTGAAGGAGACATTTACCATATGAATGTGTGACAAAAGATCATGTAGTACAAAAATAACGAAGAGCTCCGGAAAAACTAATTGGTTACTATCCGGAGGAATGAAATTGTTCATGACATTGATATAGTAGTAAGTCTCAAAAGAAATTTTTTGAGTTTCAAATATATTAGCCAAACTGGTTGGCGTTTGAGACTATAAATGAAAGGAAGATTGAATATCTTCATATTACTATAATCACATTGGGTAAATATAAAAGGTTACCCGATTTTTCTTATATTTGCACTACACAATATAAGCATGATGATGGAATCACATGCCATAGTAAATTAGATGTTTACTGAAATAAATATCAGTTGGCATGACCGCTTGGCCATCCCGATTCAATTATGATGTAAAAATTGATTGAGAATTCACATTGGCATATATTGAAGAAATATAAGATTCTTCAAAAATTCTCTTGTGCTGCTTATTCTCATGATATACCAGCTAAGGTTGGGATTGAATTCCTTGATTTCTGGAACGAATAAAAGGTGATATATATAAGGGCCCAGTCACCTGCCATGTGGACCGTTTACTATTATATGATTTTAATAGATGCATCTATTGTACGGTCACATGTGCGTTGGTTATCAACTTGCAATTTGGCTTTTGCAAGGTTGCTTGCTCAAATTATTAGAGCACAGATGATAATGCTGGTTTAAATCCAAGTTGGTTTAGTAAAAATTGTATGCCTCCAATTATAGCTAAACCGTTGGTTATGAGAACAAAACTCCAAATAAATTTTTTGTATGAAGTGTATTATTTAATATACAACAGCACTTGTACGCATCTAGCTAACAAGTTATGATACATTCTCCCCATCACAATTGGTTCAGGGTCAGGAACCAAATATTTTCATCTAGAAATATGGATGTACTATATGATTTAATTGTGCCACCACAATGCACAAAGATTGGTCCCCAAAGAAGGTTGGGGATATGTGTTGGTGATCCCAATATTAGGGGGAGAAAATGAGCAGCTGAAAAAAGTAATACATGGAATAAATTATTATGAGTACACTTAGATCCTCGTACAAGAAAATATGAACTTGAAGTTCAAGTGATAATTCATTTGCAAAATATTGCCATGCGCATTTGCTGACCCAAAACTAAATGTCATATTTCAGCTACTAATGCTCCAAATAGAATAAAGTCCACGATGGACATAGTCTATGGAATGCATGAAGCGTAATAGACTAATCGGTTCCAAAGATAAAACTCCTTGAAGAAGGAGAGGAGCAAATGTTCAAGATGGTCACAATAAGGGCAAGTGCTTTATAAGAGCACCATGACATAACACTTCATAAGACCTCATGGGAGAGGCTCAGGTACATGAAAATAATAAGATAAAGAGATCTCAATAAGTTATGTCTTTATTGGGTAACGATGGAACCGATATAAAATGATCATCAACGATATTGTTGATATAATATAGCGCTCAATATTATTAATATTGACGAGGATATTGAGCTCAAATCTGTCATGGAATTTGGACAGATTAATGATTGGCCAAATGAAAAATACGCAATGAAAATTGACTTCACCTGAAAAATATGAAATTGGACGAATAGTCCATTGTGCAAAAAGTGAAATGAAAAGTCAAGTCGATAGACATAAAGACGACTTGTGGCACAAGATTTTCGTAAATATCCTGGTATTAGTTATATGGAGACATGTTCTCCTGTGGTGAATGGAGTCATTTCAAATTTTGGTCTGACAATACATTTGATATGCATATAATGAAAATCCTTGAGGGATTTAAATTGTTCTGAAGCATATTAAGATTCCCAAGAAATTTATTAAATAAAGCTTCGCCAAATCCTTATGTAGATTAGAGCGATCATGGCGTACATGATTTGTTTTTGTGTCTAGTGAAATTGGTGCACTAATATATCTAGCTAGAACCATGAGTATAACAATATGCTAGCGAGATATAATTTTATTACTATGTGGAGATATTGGAATACAACTAGTGTTATATTTCAAAAGGAATACTTGATGTAGATTTGCTTATTCTAATAAATATTGCTAAGATTTTGTTGGTTATACAAATGCAGGCATTTTCCTGAAGTTCGTTCTTCAAACAATCTATTTGCATGTGAGAGTACTGCCATATTATCATTTTACAAGGTAATTAATTGTTGATACTTATTCAAGTCATGCCAAGATAAGCAACTGATAAAGCAAGGGACTCAACACACAACAGACGTGTGACTTTTCTTTGAAGAGAAGATTCCAATAATACTGAAGATAATGATGTTTGCTTATCTCAATTGGAAGAAGGATATATTGAAGGCAACAAAATAAAGCACATTTCACCAAAGTTCTCTTCAGACATGATCTTCGACAGATTGGTGATATAGACGTTCAACAAATTTATTTGATTGATAATTTGGTGGATCTGTTCAATGAATCATTACCAACCCCAGCATTTGAGAAGCTGGTATACGGAATTGGAATGCGTCATTTCCAAAAAGTAAAGTGATGTTTTCATTAGGGGGAGTAAGATACGCGCTGCACTCTTTTTTCCTTAGCTGAGGTTTTATCCACTGGGTTTTCCTAGCAAGGTTTTTAACGAGGTAGCAAACAATGCGTATTACAAGATATGTGTACTCTTTTTCCTTCACTAAGATTTTTTCCCACGGTGATTTTTTAGTAAGGTTTTAACGAGGCACATTATTATGGACATCCAAGGGGGAGTGTTATAAAATATAATTATAGTGGATGTCCATAACCACCAAATGAGTAATACCCACTACTCTTCTCCATTATCTCCATAACTCCCACTACTCTAATACTTATGGAGTTATGATTGTAACTCTCATACCTCCCCCCGTATGTATCTTCCACCATGATCTCAATATGCTTAATGACATATTATGGAATCATTTTGGTATATCTCTATGTAGTATTATAAAGTGGATGAGAAGTCATTTTGTAACACACTTGAATATATGAAAGAAATAAGAATCTCTGATCTCTTGCCTCCCTACATTCTTGTCTATATTTCTTGTTTTATATTATATACTTTGAGCTAAGTTTTTAACAAATATGTCGTTCTTTTTCTTTTTCTATTTTTTCTTCTTATTCTTGCTTTTAAGAGTTGATTAAGATTTAATACCCTAAAATCCGTCAAAATTATACAACTTTGTCAAGTCGAAAACTCCCTGACAAACAAAACCAAGAGCGTGTGAAAACTTATGTGGCACTA